CCCCCCCCCCCCGCCAGGGGAGCTCAGTGGGAGCCCTTAACCCTAGCATCCAGCAGGTGGCACCACTGCAGCCTATGCTCACTTCCAGAGTCGGTCTTCTGTAATGGGAGCTTTGAATGCTTCGGATTTCCAGGAATGAGACCCTGGTTTAAAACACTGTATCTGCTGGGCAGGAGGAGGAGGAGGAGTGATCACAAGGGAGTGGGTGTCCAGGCCCAAGTTGGGGAAGAAAGAAGGCCAGGGATCCTGAGCTTATGGGGTGCTGGGAACCCCAAGGACAGACACTTGGCTGCCAGCCAGGTCCTCCTGCCCAGGGCTGGGCCAGGTGGTGTCCCACATCACCTGACAGTGTCCCCTGCACGCAGGTGAGGGGCCGGGAGAACTTTGAGATCCTCATGAAGGTCAAGGAGAGCTTGGAGCTCATGGAGCTTGTGCCACAACCACTTGTGGACTCCTACCGGCAGCAGCAGCAGCAGCTCCTGCAGCGGCCGTGAGTGAGAAGACCCCGGGGATGGGCAGTGGGGCCAAGACAGAGGGGCTCCCTCCAGCACCCCCGCCTCCACCTCCGGAAGCCTTCCCAAATGGTGCTACCCTGGGACCCTGGGGCTATGGCATCCCAGGACCCTTTACAACTTCACCCTGGGAGGGGCCTCACTACATCTGCTGAGTGGGAAGATGGGGAGGGCGGCCTGAGCAGGAGACTGGTGGGACGAAGTCACTCTGGCTTCTGCACGAGAGTTGGGTCTCCATCCTTGGGCATAGAGGGCATCCATGGAGGTGCCCCGTGGGGACAAAGGGCCCTGGCCACCTCGGACATGAGCCCCTGCTCTCTGGGCAGGAGCCACCTACAGCCGCCATCCTACGCGCCAGTCCTGTCCCCCATGAGCAAAGTACACAGCGGTGTCAACAAGCTGCCCTCTGTCAATCAGCTGGTAGGCCAGCCTCCCCCGCATACCTCAGCAGCTGCCCCCAGCCTGGGGCCCATGGGTGAGTCCCTCGGGCAGCCTGGAGGCTGTCAGCCAAGCTCTAGACCTAGAGGGGCCTCAGTGACAGCCTGCTGTGAATGCTGCATGCCAGGTGGCAGGGTGTGGGTGAGAGCATGGGCTGCACCCCTATTCTGCTCCTAGCAGCGAGGGAGCTTGGGAAGGTTCCCAGCCTCACAGAGCTCAGTTTTCCTGTCAGCAAAGTGGCAGAAGTATCAGACTCACTCATTTGGAGGGGGAGTGGCGAAGCCTTGAGCTCAGTGAATGTAAGGGGCTCAACGGTGTACTGTCAGCAATCCTGGGAGTGCTCTGGATGTGGCTCCGCCTGTATCTCGAGCTCCTGGGACACAGCAACGGCTCTCACTCTTGGAGTGAGCACTGGCACAGGCGCCTTGGTCCCGACCTGAGTGCACAGGGCTGATGGTGATGCCGAGGCCCACACTGCCAGGCTGGCTCCCACCTCGGGGGCCTCCTGCTGCGCCCACACCGGGGTGTCACCTGCTCCTAATGCCCAACTGCCCTCTTGCCAGCCCCCGGGATGCTCAGCAGCCACAGCCACGCCATGCCCGCCAACGGTGAGATGAATGGTGGCCACAGCTCCCAGACAGTGGTCTCGGGGTCCCACTGCACCCCGCCACCCCCCTACCACGCCGACCCCAGCCTCGTCAGGTGCGTAGGTGGCTGCCCAGCCCCATCTTTGTCCTCAGAGCAGGGGGCAGGGAGGTGTCATGGTGGGTCACTCCACAGAGGCTGAGAGAGAAGACCACCCGGCCAGGGCCCCAGGCGTGGCACCCAGTGGGGCTCACTGGGTTCCCACGGCAGGTGTAGCTTTGTCTCTGCAGCCACATCTGGGAGCTGTCCCACCCCTGCCAGGCCACTCCCCAAGGGGCCACGGCCAGGGCGCTCAGGAGTTCACATCACGTCCTCTCCAACTCCCTCTGCAGTTTCCTAACGGGACTGGGATGCCCGAACTGCATTGAGTACTTCACCTCCCAGGGGCTACAGAGCATCTACCACCTGCAGAACCTCACCATGGAGGTACGTGGGGCCACAGCTCCCAGGAACGGGTGGGTGGCTGGCCTGGCCTCCCCAGCTGTGCTCCAGGGCTCCTCCTTCACCAGCATCTCCTAATGCCCTGCCGCCTGGCTGCTTCTGATTATAAGGGTTATGCTGTTTCCAAGGCATAAAGAACAGAAGGAGTCAGGGCCAAAGGGAGGCAGTCGAGTTCAGAGCTGTGTACGTAAGGCAAGTGGCTAGCCCTGGACCACACCACCCACACTCAGCCACTGGACACCCCGCACTCAGTGCATGTGGGCTGGAAGGACCTGGGCATCAGGCTGAAACTGGCTGGGGTGAAATAACCATCTCGGGGGACCAGCCCAGGCTAGGACTGCCCAGAGAAGCCCACAGCATGCAGTGGTCAGCTCGAGATCCATTGAGGGCCCCAGCTCTGCATCACTGGCTCAGCTGGGTCAGGGGCCAGCCCACTTGTCCCGGCCAGGGCACCAGATGGGCCGGGGGGAGCTGAAGCCAGCACTGACAAGCCATTCGCAGATGGCTGTGTCTGTTGCCCATGACCCCTGCAGCAGTGTGGTCTGCAGCCACCTCCCGCCCCTACCATAGCCTCCTCTCTCCCAGGATCTCGGGGCCCTGAAGATCCCCGACCAGTACCGCATGACCATCTGGAGGGGGCTGCAGGACCTCAAGCAGGGCCATGACTGCGGCCAGCAGCTGCTGCGCTCCAGCAGCAATGCTGCCACCATCTCCATTGGCGGCGCGGGTGAGCTGCAGCGGCAACGGGTCATGGAGGCCGTGCATTTCCGGGTGCGCCACACCATCACCATCCCCAACCGTGGTGGCCCGGGCGGGGTGGCTGGCCCTGATGAGTGGGCCGACTTCGGCTTCGACCTGCCTGACTGCAAATCCCGCAAGCAGCCCATCAAGGAGGAGTTCCCCGAGAGCGAGGGGCACTGAGGGCAGCGCCCGCACGCCTTCCTTGGGCTGGAGAGACAGGACATGGGGCTGTGCCGAGGCACATGTGAGGCCCTCCAGCCTGGCACCACTACTGAGGGACATTGCCGGCTTCGGGTGCCCAGGTCTGGATGCCCACTGGAAACTCCTGAGCTGCCTTCAGGGGCCAGGCGGGCGGGCACTAGGGCCAGGCCTCCCTGGTACGTGGGGACTCTGCCCACGCCACACCTTCTCTGAGGACCGTGTCTCCTGCTGACTGCCAATAAGTATTCCCACCCTTGAGGACCCCGCAGCAGCCAGGTTTGCAGAAAGCCCAAGGCTGGCCTGGGGACTCCTCTGCGGGACATGAGGATTGGCTCTGCCCCCAGCCCACACATTCTGCAGGGACTGCAGTAACTTTCCTGCTTCACACAAAACCTGGGTCTGCTGGGACTGCTGCTGGCTGTGGCCACCAGGAAGCTCCCGATTGTGGGGACCCCTCTGAGCCATCGAGGGACGGCTGTAGCTCGGACTGCTGGAATTGTCAATATTTGATAAAATGACATGCTTTTCTACACTGTGGATCAGGTTTTCTTTTTTAACTTTCATTCCTAATGCTCTCTGTGAGTTCCACCCAGTGTCCGCCTGGCTTTTCCATGTGTTGTGCCAATAAGCCAGGCTGGGGGCTGCAGGGTGTTGTTTTCCCCAGCATGGCTGGATGGGGAGCAGAGGAGGACACCCTGCCGGGGCACTGAGGGGTCCAGAGGCAGCTCTGGGCTAGTGGAGCCCCTGGGCCTTGCTGGATGGCACTGAGGCGCTTGTAGCTTGGGCTAGGCCTTTGGGAAGCGGCCTGAGGAGTTAGGGGGCCTGGATCCCGAGCTGAAGGTCCATCCCACCTGCGAGGACTCTCAGGAGCACACCGATGCCAGCTCCTCTGCTCCACCTAGGGAAGCACGGCCAGCCCTGTGCCCAGTCTGAGATGTTCCTACCTCCAAGCCTGGCTCGGCCTGGCCACGCCCTCTTCCTGGAGTGTGAGAGTGCAGATGTCACCTGTCTCTGCTTACTGAATGCAGCAGGTGTGGACAGGTGTAGACGTCCCACTCCATGCACACTTCCTGGGGCCTGGCAGGTCACAGATGTGAGGCTCACCAGGGTGGGGGCAGGAAGCGGGACCTCAGAGCCCCCTCTCAGGGCAGCTCCTTCTGACCCAGGGCGGGCCTTGCCTGGGGTTCCTTCGTCTCCCAGAAACACCCACAGCAGTAGCAGCGAGGCACTGGGGAGCGAGCATGCTCCTGTCTTTGCACAGATGGGGAAACTGAGGCCAGAAGGGCTAGTCCCCTGCCTCAGGTGCTGGCCCAGTCCTCCCAGGCCTCAGCCGATGTCCCCACCTCAGAGCTGGAAATGCCTGGAGGAAGACCTCATCTGGAAGGACCCAGCCGGCATGAAGCGGAACGCAGCACCAGGACTGGAGGCTGGGTGGGCACTGGGACTGGCACCAGCCCCACCTCCGACTTCACACCTGACTGCCAGGGTCTCCCTGGAAAGACCTTCGCCCCTGCCCCATTTTCTGCCCCCGTACTGGGTGGCAAAGGCACCAACATCACAGAGCCAGAAGTGAGCGAGTGAGGGCCTGGATGTTCGGCAGAGACACTGCCACGTTGACCTCAGAGCCGGACCCTAAAACACCTTCCAGAAATCAGCATAGACACTGGCGTTTTCAAAATGAGGGAGAGGTTAATGTTTGCTTTTCCAAATAGTTTATTTTTAGTGGGGTATGAGAAAGAGAATTACAATAAAACCTCATTCTGCAGGCATAATTTGTTCCAGAAGAGGGCTGGGGATCCAAAGTACACGGACACTGCTCATTTCTTGGGCACACTGATGCTGTTCTCCGCTGCAGCTTCTTCGAGAAAATGCTCCACTGCTGGAATTGCCCCCCAAAGGCTCGAGGACCCCCACTACTCCCCAATTTAAAAATGTCTGAATGTACTGGGGACTTAACCCAGGGCCTGTGCCTGACAGGCAAGCTCTCTACATCCCAGCTCTTCTAAAATTGTTTTTAAGGACTGATATTTTTTGTGGGGGGGGCATGAGGAGGGGTACTGGGATTGTGCTTGCAAGGCAGGTGGCAGAACCACTGAGCTAAGTCCCGGGCCCTAAAATTGGTTTTAATTTGAGACAAGGTTTTAGTACACTGCCCAAGCTGGCTCAGACTTGCAATCCTGCCTCAGCCTCCTGTGCAGCAGGAATTATGGGCAGGTGGGTGCACCGCACCTTCCCCAGTCCTGTTTCCTCTAGAAAAGGAGGTTAAATTCTTATGGGTGGGGTGGAAGTCAGTATCATTAGCCCCCCCTCTTGCACTGTAAGCACTACCCATGTGCTCAGAGCCTCCTTTTCAGTGGTGCAAATACCAGGTGTGTACCCTCCTGTCTGCCTTCACCTTTGGGCTGGGTTCCAAACAGCACCACATACTTTGGGTCTCCTCCTCAGCCTGGCACCTGGGTTGGGACTGCCCAGCACAGGCTCAGGTCTCCACGTGAGCTTTCAGGTGCCTGCTGCATGCAGGCCCCAGACCATCCTGAGCTGCACTGGGTTCCCCACCCTGCTGCTGCTGGTGTAACTGAAACAGTGAGAAGGGCGGCCGGGCCTCACAAAGGGCCTGGTCCTAACGTAGGTGTGTGAGGGGCTGCGGGACTCCTAGCCAGCTAGGGCTCGGGCTCTGTGACTGCTGTTCCTCCAGACCTGCAGCAGGGTTGGACGGAGGACCAGGAGCCCAGAGCGCAGGGATACCTCCGCAGACACCGGAGAAGCAGGATCCGGTGCTTGGAGGGCGGCCAGGGGACCAGGACAGCAGAGTGGGCTGGGGGAGGAGGCACCGGAGGTGTGAGGAAAACAGGTCTGTGGGGGGTGGGAGGCAGGAAGGGACTCACCTGAGGCCCTGCTGGTCCCACGCAGTCCCACGCAGCCCTCCCACCCTCACCCCCTACTCTGTATCCACCTTCTCCCAAATGCCTGGCCAGAACCCAGGGCCAACCTGCAGACATCATCTGCTGAGCACCGCTCCCTGTCACTGCTCACAGGTACCCCCTGCAGGATGTTCCGTCCCGCTGGCCCCTGCCACACAGCCCAGGCCCAGCCACTCCCTCCTCTCCGTCTGTCCAGCTCAGTTGCTCCACTGCTTTGCTGGGGAGACCTGAGCCAGGGCCACCTCCTGGGGGAGAGGCGGAGAGCACACAGGTGCACCCCGGAGACAGCAATCTTCCAGAGCCTTGTTGCTGGTGACAAAAACAGCTGAACAAACTGCTTTAGCAAGATGCCATGAAGCCCTGAAAAATACATTCACCTCGAAATTTTACATGAGCAAGCCAGGTGCACACTGGGAATCGCAGAACTCTGGGAGGCTGAGGCAGGAAGATCACAAGTTGGGCAAATGAGCAAGACCCTGTTTCAAAATAAAATTAATTAGTTTATTCATTAATTCATTAAAAGGGCTGAGGATATAACTCAGAGCAAAGACCCTGGGTTCAAGCCTCAGTACCTGCTCCCCCAATTAAAAAATATATATGTATATGTATATGTGTATATATATGTATATATATATATATATAT